GCAGCTTTCGAAACTTTGGAATTGTTTTACTGTACCCTTTTACTGTAACAAAGATTATTCTCTAACATTAAACACATCAAACAAACAGGGTCAGTATGTTGCATTAATCTCACATCAGTTGAGATGAGAAGCTTACATTTAAGAATGATGATGTGTGAGGTAAAAAGAAAAAAGAATTAAACTCTGGCATGAGCAGAATTGCCTTAACATCTATTTACAATACTATAATGACATATAACATACTGTATTATTGTCTTCATTGTTTCCCTCATATACTTTTATCAACCTGAAGGACAGAGTCGGGCTCTGTGGCTCTTACTGCACGTTCAAAAGGCTTTCCATCACTTCCAGAGTTTTATTTGTAGCTGCAGGGACTCCTAGATGACTAGATGGCTTAGCTGCAATCCAAATGCCAATCAGCTCATATTTTCCCGTATTGATATCCAGCCTTGCAGATAGTTTTGATTTAATGTACCAAATTGGATATCTCAAAAAACAGACAAATACAACTAATATAACTGTTAAGATGGAAAGATGTGCATTGTTGTTGTTGAATGAACTGGTCTTTAAGGTTCAAGAAGTTGTACTGATTGTGCCTGAGCTGAAAGTACTATACAAAGTCGTAGCAGCGTATGGGTTACTCCCTCTTTCCCTCCCATACATTGATCTTGCATCTCAGCCACTGTACAAAATCCCCTTCATCCATTCGCCGGGCAGCAACACCGCGGGCGCCTCAACCTAACACTTCACACAGTAGCACCAGATTAGCATATTACAACAACAAAAATGTCTGTGAACAAAGTAGTTAGCGACCTGTGCAACCCCAGCCACTGAAAAGACAACAAAACTTCCCTTTTCTAACAATTTACTCTCGGGGGCCGGAACCAGAGAGCAGCAGCGGTTCAGCGAGCCCGCAGCAAAACTTCCACACTGGCAACATATGAATCATAAAAGTGAGCCTACACACTGTGCCAGGACACAAAACAAACCTAGAGAGTGACTCACACCCTTATGTTTCATTTGGAACAATTCGATACTGATTAGATAATACTGACGGTGAGCGCTTTCAGCAAAATGGCCTTGGAAATGTTTTTAGCTGCCGCGGTGGCCTGGTAGTGGTTGAGGGTGAAGAAGAGGGCGGGAGAGGGATGCGTTGATGTGGGTGGCTTCACAGAGCCTTTGACTGTAGCTGGCTGCCGAATAATGATGGCTGTTGCGTAACTGTCACCAGAGTGTAGACTGGAGGTTTTTGGTTTTTTTTAAACAGGAGGGTCGAGGTGATGTAATGTCTGTCTGTGCTGTAGGGTCATATTAAAGAGCCGCCACTAGGAGGAGAGAGTGGGCCTGAACTGGCTGGATGTGAGGATGATAAGGATGACGGACCAGATGTGGACTGCTAGGTGTGAACACTGCGAACAGTCTACATATTTATCAGTCTGTTAGTCCTGATTTTGAGTCTTAAATGTTTTATTTTTAAGTGAAAAACTCAAAGCACCCTGTCTGTATGTGCAGTAATTATACTTTATTGTTCCACAGTCAGCTGATGCCTAAGGAGACTACTTAAGTCTGTGTTCAAATCAGTTAGTTTCAACAGTTTTAGTTTCACTATCTTGAAACAATATAATAAATGCTAGTATCAGCAAAACATTTAACTTGAGCCAAGAACATGAAACAAAGATTTTTCTAGTAGAAACAAGTCATTTTTAGAAATATTTTTTTAGGACTCATATATAAATAAAAATAATTTGATATAATTGAGATTATGGCAGTGAAGAAACTGATACGGTATACTCTAGTTTTATGGTTCTGAGGTTTTGAGCCTGTGGCATGTCCTCATTTCTTTTTCGCTCTGGGAGACTTTCTTCTTTCAACCTACAAATATATTATGGTTATATTCCAGTTCATTTACAGTATCTCAGTTTTTAGAGTTACTGGATATTTTCTACATTGGGCTTTTCCAGTCAGCATGGGATAAGCTCATAAAATATGAGTGTTAACTTTTCTGGGACTCTGAGAGGCAGAGTTGTTTCAGCTCAATGACATAATGACTTTAAACTTTGTCTAGAGGATTAGCTATTCTTTTCAACTTGTAAAAGAGCATGTAATCCATCAACTAATCTGGAATAATGCAAGACATTTGGGGGATTTTCATTGTTTTATGACCTCAAATTTAGCATATTGTCAGTTTTGATGAGCTGTATGTATGACATGTTAGGTAACAAAGCTAAAGGAACTTCTTATATTATCAGCAGTGTTAATAAAGTGTTTTCCTTTGTTGTATTTCTATGGTTACGTCTTTCACCAATCACAAATGTATAAATAGTTATCAGCACTATGATGATACGGTATTTGTTCAGATTTGTCTTGAAAAATTGTCTTCCAAAACAATTTACAAGTAAAAAAGGAAAATAAAAACATATTTAGGTCATAGATCCTCGAATATCTATGAAAATGAGCATCGAGTGTGTAAAGGTGTTGTCATTCTTTCAACCAAAGACTAAAGTTCTCTTTTATCTCTTGACATGACAGGATTTGTTTTTGTCGTCAATCATACCGTCAGAGTAGCTGTCCCTTCTTTTTCGACGGTAGGATGTATCGTTTCAGTTCACTCCAAACATCATCATTATCGTTTTTTCCCGTGCAATCAGTCACTGCAATGCTGCTGTTTGATAAAAACCTCTAAATGACAAAAACAAAGATTTTTTTTTTCAACTTAATTAATATACGTACAATATATATTTTTTTTATCAGCCAATAATATTGAAAAATCTCTTATTTGTGTTTATATGGATGGACACCATGTTGAAGGCTTCTGGGCTTGAGGTTTTGGTTAATAATAATGACAATTATATATATATATGTGTGTGTGTGTATACTGTATATCAGCATTCTGACATATATTAATGTATAGTCTAATAATTTTCCAAATGATATATGAGCAACAGAAGATGTAGAAATCACCTCCTGCGAGCTTCTTTTGCCCGGTGAGTGACAAGGTTATTTACGAGGTTCAAAGTCAATGTGGTGTCTTTGTGTGGGACCTGCCCTGGGTGGTAGAGGCCGACAGATGGATATGTGATCAACTCAACATGAGTGATTTACCCTCTTCATCACACACGGAGACTTTGCCTGCACCGGCTGATGAATCACTTCATAGACGTGACAAATATATCGGCCTCATTCCTCGGAGGAGAAATAATGGTCAGAAAAATGAGCCGCCGTGTTGTGTGGAGTTCCTCAGACAAAGCGGTCGAGACGGGGGCTTTTTGTCATTTTGGTCTCTTTGGCTGCTCAGTTTATGTTTGAACAAACAAGATATTATAAGGAATCTAGCATATAGAGTGTAGATGTGTAAATGGAACAGTACATTGTGGAATTCATAACAAAAGAGTCAGGAAGAAAAGTTGTTTTCTTATTATATTTTTAATTCAAGCACTTAGCTTCACTAGGTTTCCCCCTAGGGATCATTAATTTGACCCAGTCTAATTAGTTTGTTATTGCACCTTAAATGTTAGAATAGCATAACATTATTAATGCATGACGTGAATTTGAGTTTGGTGCTGTTCCTGTTTTTCTTTGATACACTGACCTCAGGGCCCAGGAAACCCAATTAAAAACCTGCAATAATAGTAGCATGGCTGGGAATGTCAAAGAAGACTGTTAATCAAAAGGTTTGAAAAAGGACATGTTGGAGTTTTTTTCCTGAGATTTGGTGAAATAGGATAGAGATTGTGTTACAAAATTAGGGCGGGTGCCGTCATAGAAGCCTGGCTGGATAGGATTGACAGTTTGCTCATCCAAAGAACATCCTGGAGAAAAGATCCTTTAAATGTTTTTTGTGTTTGTGTTTTACTTGGAAAGCTTGTTGTAGATTAAATTTGACCATGCATGTAGGACATTTTGTACAAAAGGGCAAAGTTTGAAAAGTACTGAGCAAAGATTGTTTTTTTGTTTTCTTCCTTACATTTTTGTGCTGCTTATTTTACTTTATTTAAATGGGTAAAATGGAACAGTTACTCTGTTTTTTCATGTTTGTATTGAAACTGAAGAGGCAGACCACACACCCTGCAGAAACCCCACCATGAAAGTGCAGCAGTTTAAATCCATCAACCTGAGATGAAATCACTTTTCTGAATCCATGAAAACATTTTTTTTCTGCCAACAACTTTAAGATAGGGCCTGCTCCATAAATGGAGTCACCATATTTTACAAAGGTGTTACAGTAGCAGTCACTTCCTATAGCGGTGCACAATGCTTCCTGGAGGGGAACTTGGTAATATATCGTCCTGCAGGGCCTTTAGTCTGAATTACAGCGGGAAAAACAAAAGGTTAATCACATTGGGAGACTCCGCTTTGCCTCTGACCACCCAGCTTCTCTGCGTCACTCCATCAGTGTTTCAATTCAAGCTGCTTTATTGGCATGAATGTTGGATGAACAGGGCAAAAAAAAAAAAGCACCTTCAAAAGCACCTAGAAAAACAATACAGAAGTCTTTCTGTGCCCTTTCTGCCCATATTGTCTCTCTTGCCTTTCTCGCTGCCCCAGTTTCTGTCACCCTCAATTTACATCTATCACGACTATATACGTTGCAATCACCATACGTCAAATCAATATGTAAATGTATCATAAACTAGGCTGCTAGAGGTGCATTTGCTCATCTGAGAATCACGTATCAGAGCGTCCTCTTGTTGATGACCAAAATCCTCTCATCCCCAACCCCCTCCTCTTCATTTCCCACCGAGCTTAAATGCCGCCGGGCGCATTACATTGAGATTCAAGAGGTTATCTCGCAGTGGTGATGGGGATTGCAGCAGCCTAAAGGATCGCCACAGGTTAACACATTTTTTCTTTCAAGTGCCACGTATGGTTAAGTTTTAATGAACACAACTCCTTTTCTCCTGCGGTATGACAAACAACACCTTGTTACTATGGAAAAATATATTCTGAGGATGTCTTTTGCAAAGCTTCTAAATATGTGTGTGTGTGTGTGTGTTTTACAGGGTGGTGGGCCCTGCTGTGACCTTCAAAGTGAGCCCAAACCCTCAGAACGTCAGCACCGCAGATGTGGCCAATGTGGCTGGTAGGTCCTCCTTGACTGAGTAATGTTGTCTATACTGACAGAGAAAAAGACAGGCCATTATCATTGGCTTGCCGCTGCACCTGAGGCCCTGTGAACATTTTTCAAAATGTGTGACGTGTGTGTTTTTTTGTCTCCCACTGTGTATTCTGCCATACCCACACTGGCACTTTATGGCGAGTTTTTCTATTCCTTTGTGTTCCATTTGGTTTAGTTTGGGTAAGTATTTGGTATTGGCCCATTTTGAAAGGAAGCCAGTAGAATTTTCTGTTGTCACAAATCTCTAAGCAGCCATGTTTGGCTCCATCGTGGAAATCCATTGGAGAGTTGGATGTGTGCCTAAAAAAACATGCTAGAAAAAAAGAGAACTTTGTTGTGTTTCAGAAACGAGTCAGTTCATTAATGCCTTTCTCAAATATGAAAAGTCTGATAAGGCAGATTTTTCTCAAAAGGACACACAATGTGGCTTTCAGTCTCGCATTGCCAATCAGTATGAGTTGTACCTATACCTGTGGTATCAGCTTTTGAGAATTAGGTACTGTAGCTAACCAAGCAGCAGTCTCATTTTACAGTGGGGATTCTTCGGAAAAATGTAATCCCTGGAAAGCAGTATATGTTCACCTTATGCTGAACAAAGTGGTTTGACCAAAAAGTCCTACCAAAAAAACCATTGTAAATTTTTGAAAAACTACTCAAATCAAACTGCCATCCACATGCTATCCCAATCCCATTGTTTAAAGTTAAAATGGACTTTTCACTATTAACGCTAACGCTACCCTCTGCTAAAGATGTTCGCTAACACCCCAGGTATAAAAATGTCTTAGCCTAACAGTGACCTAAGTCCTGGTTCCAGAGTGACTTGTAATGAATGAGGTTTCAGTTCTGGCCTACACTTTGATCCACACCCCGCAAAACCTAGCCAAATTGTTTTTCCAGTTATAGGCCAGAGCTAGCTCACATTTTGCTGTGCCAACACACAGGTGACTGTGCTCACACATATCTTAGATTGATTGTAAGTAAGGACTAATATTACATAAATTGTAGATTTTTTAAATTAGACAGTTACAGTCATAGAACAAGCTCAGAATCATGAGCATGTTGTTCTGTATTCCAGCTGTGATTGGGTTTTTTTGGTTTTATATTCTGGTATTGGAAACTTATCCTGGTTTTGAGAAACCCAAATATGCAAGCTGGACTACTCCGATATCAAAGTTTTGGATCACTTTCTGTCATGTGTGCAGGTGCATTGTAAGCTTAACTTGCATAACAGTCTGTGAAACAAGAAATATGATGATGAATGCAAGTGTGACATCAGTAACTGCTCTGTTCCTCTCATTTTCCATTCTTGGTGGTCATATGAAGAAGCAAAATACAGTAGAACTGTAACTTTGTTTCTGGTAAACGCCACGTTGGGAATATGATCAAAACCAGGAGTCAAGAAAGACTAAAAAACCGGGATAATGATGTAAAATTGCTCATTGTCAGGGGATCTGTGATCCACCACCTTTGAAGAAAGCTCCTCAGTGATTCTGTTTCAAGATCCTCCAAATCAAAATGACTTAGTTCAGCCTGTCACATGGAGCAGGTCTCTGTAATAATCTTTCAGAGTGCAATCCAGCAGGACAGACATTGTGAAGGTGTGTGTGTGTGTGTGTGTGTGTGTACCAGGCTACAGTGTGACTCACGGTAATGAGGAGAGGGTGTTGATGAAGTGGGGAATAAAGAGAGGAGGAATGTTTGCCATTAGCCAAGGTGTCAGTCCAGAGAGAGAGAGTACTTTCCTGATATTCCCTGGGACACACACACACACACACACACACACACACACACACACACACACACACACACACACACACACACACACATACACACATGTATAGACACACTGCTGATTATGCAACGGCTTCTCTCCTGTTTTTAAGAGCTATTGTTGGCGTGCTCATTTCCCGCCCGCCGCTCTCGCTGGCTCTGCGGGGTCACGGATGAGTCTCGATTGTTATTAATGCAAACATTTGACAGAACGTGCTCGAAATGAAATATGGCGTCCTCTCAGCTAAAGTGCAATAGTGTGGGCGGGCTGTCTTTAAAGTGTCGTTTGTCATATTCAACTAGAATATCAATCCATCCCAAAGCGTACATTATCCCCCCTGGCCAGGGTTTATAGTGCTTTTCTGAAACATTAAGCTTTACACGGCCATTGTAATGACGTCGTTTTATCATCATTTATAGCCGCTCCGCAGCGGATGGCAGAGATTGGACGTCCATCTCATCTGTCACAAACTTGTGTGTTTTGGTGGAATGCTTTTGGCAGCTGTGTTAAAAATAATTCAGTTTTGTTTGATTTAAGCTCTGCGAACGCTTCAGTAAGACATCACTGTGTGCCAAAGAAATGTTTAAACATTGAACTATGTGCAGTGTGGAGCTGTTGAATTGAATGGTGTTACACTGAGAGGCGTTTCTAATATCCAGGAATCAGTCATGAGAACAATTTAATCGACAACTGAGAACATAGAAAGAAAATCTGAGAATGTTGAACAAAAGTTGAAAATATAAAATGGAAATGTGACAGTATCATATAGGATGAAACCCAGTGACTAAAACCTGATGACGACACCCCACTGGCACCATCTGTTGTTTCAGGTAAGTATTGATAGGTTATGCTATATTGCATATGAATAAGTGAGTCACTGTGGCAACAATGCAATGAAATACTTATTTTGTTAATTGCATTCAGCCCCAAATTATAAATCAAACTCAGCAGACTTGTAAGGTATGCAGTGGTTAAAGGGGAACATGTGGAATGTTAAAACAAATACAGTCCCAATGATTATATTCACTTTCAATTTGGACTGGAATTGTCTTATTTAATATTTGACAACAGAGTCAAATTCACCTTTTTACATAAGAACACAAGATTCGTCAGTTGTGCATTTTACATTTTATTTGGAATTCTCAGTTAATGTATTCTTATGAATGCTTAATATCTATAGGGAAGAAACAAGATACATGCAAGACTACTTATATATGGTATTCGCCAGTGTCATGTAATCCGCTGTTGGCTGGGCTATTTCAATGGTATAACACACGCAGACAAAATAAAATGTCCATACATGTTTTATTAATTTCTGATCCGGTCATTTATTAATGACTGAATTATGTCTATACATATTATTTATTTATATTTTGTCACTTAATTAGTTATAGGTCATTTTGCACATTTTGGATTTTACTGACAGATCATGTGTAGTTACTGTAATGTGACTATATAGCACATATATAGCCAGTTCTGACTGCAGTCTCTCAGGAGTCCAGTTTAAACATCATCTTTCTCCGTCTTACACCGGGTCAATTCTGACCTCAGCCTCCAGGTGCCCCAATGTCCGATTAATGCAGCCAGGCCTGCCAGACCTGGTGTTGCATTTTAAGAAGCCACGTTACCACTTCTGTCATGCGCGTCAGCCCATTGTGAGCAACTCTGGGGCCACCAGGGGCCATTGTCAAACGTGGGGGTGGATGTCAAGACGGTGGGCAGCGAGGTGGTGACCCTCATTGTTCAGCCAAGGGGTGGGCGGGGGACCTAGAGGCTACTTCCAGCGGTGCGTCACGGCCGTGAGAACGGGACCCCGTGAATAGGCCGGGGGTCAGGGTCAGGACAGCGGGCAGCTCAATTAGCACTTAAAGCAGGAGGAGAGCAGCTGAGATTGCCTTATCCCTGCACCGTCTGTTCATTTGACTTTCTTTTTTATCCCACCAGCACTTGTTTTTGCATACATGCTAATCATGCCTCTCAGTGTGAAATAGTTACTCACACATGCCCAAAAGCTGTCCACTCTAGGGATTATGGAGGATTAGTTAGTTAGACAGTTGCTGCTGGTAGTGGTCAGTTTCAGACTCCACTTTTCTCGAGTTAAACTAACCCGTCTTTGTTATAGACAGACAATAGCTGGGTGCTCACTTAGTCAATGTTGCTTCTGAAGTTTGATTTGTGTGTTGACATGTAAATAATTTACTGGCAGAGAGGTCAGATCAGTTTCATAAGTTAAAAGACATTATTCCCCTGGAGAGGGGAAACCAGCCAATGCTTAATTTACATGCTAATTAATAGGCGGGAAGTGTTTAGTGTCTAGTTCACATATCAATCAAAAAATTACTTTTTAGACTATATATATATAAAAAATATTTTGTTGTTCATTATTAAACAGTGTCTTGTTGAACTGAATTCATTGCTTGTTCTTTACTCTTTTTCTGATGACCGTTGACAACACACACACACACACACACACACAGCGAGGTGCAGACACATCCATTTAAAGAGGATGACTCTTCCGTATGCAGTGCTGTATGCTATCTTATTAAAGGGACTATATTTAAGTTTTTCAATGAAATTTTTCAAATTTTCATTGCCTTATTGTCAGTGGGCTCAAAACTCACTTAGAAATGAAGCACACGCCTGTTTTCTCCGTTGCTTGCATTATCCACTATTCTGCTTTTAATGTGAGGTCTCCCGGTCGGATTCAGCCCTGTTCGCGCTCCCGAGCCTCTCAGACTACAGCAACAACACGACAGCTAACGACATGCAGTCCACTAACACCATAAAACAACCGGCTCACAGCAAAACACAGGCTCCACGTAAGGATACAAAACAACAACAAAGGTTTATGTACTGAAGCCCATCAGACCAAACAGGTTCAGATGATGTCGAGTAAGAACAAAGTGAGCATTAGTAAAGCTGGAGAAACACAGACAAAGCCACATTAGCTCGCCGAGCAGTTGCTGATGTTATCCGGTGCAAAGTTATATAACGTTAGCTTTCCATATTACTTCATCAACTAACGCGACCCGTGTTACTATCCTGTTGATTTAGCCTGCAAGAAAGGATGTAACGGTAAAAAGCAAATGTGGAGCGATTTGTTTACTAACATTAGCCTATAGTGATGCAGCCAGGAGCAGCCAGCTAACGCTACAGTAGCTCGGACCTGCCGCTGATTGCTTCGTAACATTCA